TCTCAAGGCCTCAATGTTCTTGTAAAACAGGAGAAATAATTCTAGCTCTTCTTACTTGTTAGGGAAGTTGTAAGGGTCATATAAGGTCATTTAGGTGAAAGTGAACTAAAATGTAAAGCCCTTGATTTAAAGCCCTAGAAAGCCTAAGAAAAACCACTTTTGTATGAACTGGAAGAAAAGCTATTTCCTCTGGGTGAATTGGCTCTGTGTCCATTTGTACAATTTGTTGAGCAGAGCTCAGTTTGGGTTCAGTCTCTACTTACCTCCGTGGTTGGCCACCCTTGAGCAGAGCAGAACCATCAGAACTGTTTCTGTAAGAAAAATTACATTACACAATATCGTAAGGAAATGTTTACTCTCAGGATGTTTGCCACATATCCTTAATAGTCTAGAGCCCTTTGTGTTCGGTGGGTCAGGCTAAATTGACAGAGCACTCTGGAGTCCTTACGGATGTCAGTGTTTAAACACTGGGTCATCTCAAATAACATGCCCATTTCTGAAAAATGCCTCCCCATCCCACTGTCCCCACTCTGGACTTTTTAGGATTTGCTGGGTAAGTGCATGACCAAGACCCTGGGGCTAAAAGCCAATGGTTTATCTGGGACCCACGGCAGAGGTGAATTCCTTAGTGAAATGTTGTTCCCTTTCCCTTTTGTCTCCCATCTTAAGAAACTCCTCATAGCTGGAGAGCGTCCAGCCCAGGGCTGAGTGGGACTATCCATCCAGTCAGCTGTCACTGGGCAGTAGCAGCTGCAACCACAGAATGAAGGAAAAGCTCCCAACTACACAGTGTAGCAAGATCCCTGACCATTACTAATTCTTGTATAAAACAGCGGTTTTCAACCATGTCTCTAAATCCAAGCTTTTATAGCAAATATGTTGTACGTCCCCTTCACTCTCCTGAAGTTTGATTCACAGATACAATCACACATGTTTATGCATAAACCCAGGCAATTCGTCTTCAGACTCTGAGCACTCAAGCACGATTGCTCCAACAGAGCTCACCCTTCACTCCTGCATTATTGGTTTTCCTCTCTGCTTAGTCTTTATTATCAATAAACAAGCTGTTGTTTTTCTCTTCTTAAAAATAAAACAAACTAGGAAATCAACCTTCTCTTGACACTTATGCTCATTAAGTCTCATATTTTAGGTGCCTGGTCGTAAGCTGATGTCTCGCAAATATGTATCTCCAGCTCAGACTCTCTGGTATATAGGTTCCTATATTCATGACATTTAACTACCATCTGACATCTCAACTTGTAATTTTTTAAAAAAAGTTTACTAATTTATTTTGAGAGAGAGAGCACACATGAGTGGGGAGAGGGCAGAGAGTGAGAGTGAGAGAGAATCTCAAACAGGCTTCACATTGTTAGTGCAGAGCCTGATGTGGGGCCTGATCCCCTGAACCTGAGGGGAGATCATGACCTGAGCCAAAATCAAGAGCTGGAGGCTCAATAGACTGAGCCACCCAGGCTCCCCTCAACTTGTAATTTTTATAGACATGATGAACTTCACGTCAACACAGGGCTGAGTGGAATGGCAAAAGATCACAAGGATATACACCAAGTGTAAATGACTGTCTAAATGAGGATATTGTGCGTGCATGCCTGTGTTTCTCTATACTGTTATGTAAAGCATCTATAATGAGCCTTAACACTTAAAATAAGTTTTTCTTTTGAAAAAAACATTGATTTATAGAGAGCTGCAAAGATAGTACACAGAGGTCTAATAAACCCTTCACCTGTCTCTTCTAGTGATTACATCCTACACATTAGCATGATGTGTAAAATTGACACTAGCATAATGTGTTTGAGTATGGTTCGGTGTCATTTTCCTTTATGTGTAGATTCATGCAATCACCACTACAGTCAAGATACAAAACTATTTCATCACCACAAAGGTCTCCTTTGTGGGGGTGCCTGGCTGGCTCATTCAGTAGAGCATGCAACTCTTAATCTCAGGGTTGTGAGTTTGAGCCCCACACTGGGCATAGAGATTAGTTATAATAAAAAAAACTTACAAGAAGATCTCCCTTGTGGTACCTCTGTATAGTCATACCTGTGTCCCTAAACCCCTGATGAACACTACCATGTTCTCCATATTATATGGATCCCATCTAAATGGAGTCATACAGTACATGACCATTTGATATTATTATTTTTTTTTTTTCTTGCTCAGCCATAATGCCTTTGAGATCCATTTAGATTGTTGTATCAGCAGTTTGTCCCTCTTTATTGCTGAGTAGTATTCCATGGTACACATGTACTTCAGTTTGTTTAGCCCTTCACCTGGTGGAGGAGATTTGGACTGTTTCCAGTTTTTGGCTGATGCAAATGAGACTGCTGTTAACATTTTTGTACAGGTTTTTGTATAGACGTATGTTCTCATTTCTTTGAGATAAACGCCCCAGAATGTGATTACCGAGTTGTATGATAAGTATACAGTTAGTATTTTAAGAATCTACCAAACTGTTTCCCAGGGTAATTGTACCATTTATATTCCCATCAGCAATGTACGACGGATCCAGTTTTTCAGGATCTCTCCCTCCAGGGTTTCGTAGTCTCACTATTTTTTCCTTAGAGCTGTTCTGATAGATGCTTGGGTGATATCTTCCTCATTGCAGGTCACTGGAGTTTTTTCTCTGCAGTCTTGTCCCCCCGGTATTCTGCCCCATGAACTCTAGTTGCCTGGTCCTCCTTGGACTCTCAATTCCATCACCTCAACTCAGGGAGACTGACAGACTCCGTCTGGGTCCCCCTCTGTACCACCTAGCCTAGAAACTCTCCCCAAGGGGAATGCTGGGGGAGTAATCTCATCCTGTTTGGTTCCCCCTCTCTCAATGATCACTGTACTTCATTGCCTCTTGTCAATGCCTTGAAAATCTATCATTTCATATAATTCATTCATTTTTCTAGCAGTTTCAGGCAAAATCCAATCACTGCTCCTCCATCCTGACTACAAGTAGAAGTCCATATTTTAGACCGATTTATGAGAAATAGCACTTAGAATCTAAGTCTTAGATGGATTCATTGTCAATTTTCTTATCAGAGTATCTGTTCTATCTCTCTCTATCTACTTTTTATCTATCTACCTACCTTTTATCTATCTATCTATCTATCTATCTATCTATCTATCTATCTATCTATCTAATCCATCCATCCATCCATCCATCTCTCTGCCCACCTATCATTGGTCTATCATAAATTTTGCTTAACTAGAAGCCAAAGTTCTAATATCAGAACTGTCATTACTTTCCTGTAGCATCTGAGACATTAACCTCTTTGAGTCACTTTCTTTATTTGTAAAATGAAGAATTGATCTATATGAGCCTTAATTCCTTCTCTGAGATTCTAGATGTTGTTTGGCTTCTCAGAGAAGCAGTGAGCAATGTTGGCAGCTGCAGCTCTAGGATGTGTTATTTCTGATAGGAAAATGTATTGAGCAGGTAATGAGCATGTATTGGTAATTGCTATGTAATAATGGTAACAACAATAGCTAATATATTGATCCTTTTACATGCAGTGTCTTGTGTGATATTCACAACATCCATGTAGAGTAAAAGCTACTATTACTCAAATATAGAAGGCAAGAAAACTCAGGGCGCCTGCTGGCTCAGTAGGTAGAGCCTGCGACTCTTGATCTCAGGCTGTGAGTTGGAGCCGCACGTTGGGGGCAGAGATTGCTTAAAAATAAAATAAAATAAAATAAAATAAAATCTTTAGAAGATGAGAAAACCATGGTCTATAAAGGGGAGAAACAAAACCAAAACCCTGTCAGTCTAAAGGTTATACTTAGACCTTTCTTCCTTTAATCAAAGGTTAATTTCAAACAATCCCTAATAGTAACCAAAACACCTGATTATAAAGAAGGTGATGAGTGTGGTTGAATATGTTATCCTTGCTGACTCTAGACAGGTACTGGGTTTAGCAGAGGATTCTTTATGCCCTCTTCATGTTCCAAATAGACCTTACCAGAACGGATGGGCAGAATGACACCAACGGAGGATAGCACAGGCAAAGAGGGTGAAATGCAATAAATGCCTAGTGTGAAGTAGGTGCTCAGTGTTGGTTAGTTGTTACTATACATACTGTAAATGATCAGCCTCAGCACTGCCAAAGGTCAGCCAGTCACAGAGGCATTTCCCAGACCACCATTGGAAAACCGTTGCCTGAATGACAAGCAAAAGATCCTCCTGAAGGCCTTGTTTATGTCCAGAGGAGGTTTGCATAGTGCTTTAATAATCTCCAGAGTGCTTTCAAAACTGTTATCTCATGATAGCACCTTTAGCTAAGGAAGGAAACAGAACAAATATTGTAATCCTCCTGATTTTACTCACCCAGGCTGCAGGAACTGATAGAGATAGTGCTGCTTTGGATACAGTCTTATCTAGGGCTAAATTCTCAGGTTCACAAAATCCAGCTATTCTTATGGGAATATGGTTATTGGCTGGGTTGCAAAGAGGGAGCAGGGAGGGGAGGGCAGAGATCATCTTCATAGGTTAAGGTATGTGTAAATTTATGACTGAAAGAAATATTCTGAGTGTTCAAATTAAGTCATAACAGAATTCTAAAATGTAAAACCAAAATAGCCATGTTGGTTCATATAAAGGCCAAAGATCTCAATTCCAGAAAAGGGTTATAGGAAGTACATGTAGAGAATATTAAGAATTGACTTGATTTGAAAATCCTGGCAAAATCAGGCTGCTATAAACCTCAGGATAGTGGGTGTAACTCAGGAGTTGGACAACTGACCAAACCAAAACTGTGTGCATTTTCCCAGGCAGGGGACATTTCCTGCCTTGGACATCTGGGTCTGTCTCAATGTCCAAATAGCCTTACTTCAAAGTGTTTGTGGGAGCAGAGAGAATTGGGTGACTGTGTTTATTCAGTGCTGGTGGGAGGAATGGAAGGAGGTTGGGCTTAGGAATTAAGTCTGGGTTTAAGAGCACATGGACCAGCAGGAACTAACCATTTTTCTACAGACCAGCATCCAGGGCACTTTTCACAAAGAAGGAAACCCTGGGAGGGAAGAACTTGGGGAACGGGAGAAAACAAAAATCTTTGAGGCTACTTAGGTGTGGAGGTAAGTCAAAGTGGTGTTGAGTACCCCAGGGAAAAACACGGGAAGTTCTTTTGCTTTAAAAATTTTTTTAAATATTGAAATATTTTCAACTTTAAAGAAAAGTTACAGCAGTATTACAAAGAACTCCTGAATGCTCTCTATCCAGATACATAATTTAAAAAAATTTCCCAGTGGGGCACCTGGGTGGCTCAGTCGGTTAAGCATCAGACTCCTGATTTCTGTTGAGGTCATGATCTCACAGTTCATAAGTTCCAGCCCCAAGTCAGGGATGGAGTCTGGGATTCTCTCTCTCCCTCTTTCTCAGCCCCTCCCTCTATCTCTTTCTCAAAATAAACAAATAAACTTTAAAAATAAATAAAATAAACAAAAATTCCCCCCCATATTTAAAGGAATCATTGTCTGGGGCACCTGGATGGCTCAGTCTGTTGAGCATCTGATTTCAGCTCAGGTCATGATCTCGTGGTTTGTGAGTTCGAGCCCCATGTTGGGCTCTGTGCTAAAAGCTCAGAGTCTGGAACCTGCCTCAGAGTCTGCCTCTATGTTTCCCTTTCTCTCTGTCCCTCTCTGGCTCACACTCTGTCTCTCTCTCTCTCTCAAAAATAAACAAATTAAAAAAAATCATTTTCTTTCTTTCTCTGTAAAGGTATGTATTTACATACATATAACCAATATTTTGAACCATTTGAGGGTAAGTTGCATACCTCATACCCCTTTGTTCCTTAATATTTCAAAAAGTTTCATTTTTAAGAATAAAGATATTCTTTTAAATAATCATAGTATAATATTTCAACTTCAGTGTATCAAACATTGATGTAATACTCCTATCTATACCACAGACTATATTCTAATTTTATCACTTGTCTCAATGCTCTTTACAGCAATTTTATTTTCTAGTAGGGAAGGTCTCTCTCTCTCTCTCTCTTTTTAAAGTTTATTTATTTATTTTGAGAGACAGAAATAGTGTGAGTGGACGAGGGACAAAGAAGGAGAGAAAATCCCAAGCAGGCTATGTGCTCCCAATGCAGAGCCCAATGTGGGGCTTGAACTCATGAAACCGTGAGATCATGATCTGAGCCGAAATCAAGAGCCAGATGCTTAACTGACTGAGCCACCCAGGTCCCCTGGGAAGGTCTGTCTTTGACAGGGGGATGAAACTGGCCTAGCAGGACAAAGATACATGCTCCTACTCTCAGCATCATTGGGATCTTTATTAGTAGGGGAACACCAGCAGGTCAGTTGTTTGTTTTTTTCATTCTTACTCCATTTCCTCCCTGAGAGTACAAAACTAATCAGCAGGAAATACCCAAGTGCTAAGAGATCTTTTTTTTTTTTAAAGTTTATTTATATTTAAGAGAGGCAGAGCATGAAAAGGGGAGAGGCAGAGAGAGGGAGACACAGAATCCACAGCAGACTCCAGGCTCTGAGCTGTCAGCACAGCTGGGGGTTCAAATCCACAAGCTGTGAGATCATGACCTGAGCCAAAGTTGGACACTTAACCGACTAAGCCACCCAGGCACCCAAGAGTCTTTAGTATAGAAGAGTTCTAGCATGACATCATGTGGTTTTAACAGGGTCCTGAGATGCAAAATAGGGCATAGCCTCCCTGCCTACAGCCCACCTGTCCCTACCACATAGTCTAAGCTTAGGAGTAACAATGGACCATGGTACTTATTCTATTTATTTGTATCTTTTGTGGCAAGGTGGGTAGAAAGGAGAGTAATAGATACTTGAATGAGCAAAAATTAATTTGGGATAGAAATAGAAAGATGGTCTCCTATGGCAATTCTAGTCCTTTACTGAGAATAAGGCTTTCTCTAAGAATTTCTCTCAAGGACAGTGTGACACTGTACTTGCTTGTCTTCTTAACCATTTTCTTGGGTTATTTGGAACTAATTTCTGTTTAAGAGTCACTGGATGTCAACTTTCCCCACTGACTCCCCATATGTGAGCCAATTTTAGAGCTGCTTCCCCCGGTCATCTTCCTGTTCTGCAGGATTCACAGCTTATCACACAGCAACAGGAATGTTGTGAGGAGGGACCAGAAAAATGGGAAAAGAACAAGCAAGAATCTCTGCCTAGTGTAGAGAAAGGAGAGGAGACCCCAAAGACTACGCTATCAGGGTTTAGGGTAGTCTGGGGTCCCTGGTGGAGCCAAGTTTCATCTCAAAGTCAGTCCTTCTGTTTCCCTTCTCCCCTCCAGGAAAGATGAAGCTGACTCTGGTACATATCTTCTTTATGATGTTGCTGCTGTTGCTGGGTGTGGGGGTGGGTCTGGGTTTGGGACTTCAGATGGCTGCTGCAGTCCTGGAGGATAGCGATCAGCCCCTGAGTGAGTTTTGGTCTAGCAACTCAGAGGACAAGACCCAGGCCACTAAAGGAGAGGGCAGCCGAACTACAGAAACCATGCTGCTTAGCAACAAAGGAATAGTGCAACCTGGCTGGCCTGAAGACACCATCCTTGGTGAAGACGAAGTTGGAGGGAACAAGATGCTCAGAGCTGAGGCTCCCTTGCAGAGCAACAAAGACTATCTCAGGTTTGACCTGATGGCCAGGGATTGCAATGCTCTGATGTCACACAAGGTGAAGCAACACAACCACACATGCATAGCCCAGTACACTTTCATCCACGAGGATCTAGACACAGTCAGAGCTGTCTGTAACAGTCCTATTGTTGCCTGTGAGCTCAAGGGAGGCAAATGCCACAAAAGCTCCCGTCCTTTTGATTTGACATTTTGCAGCTTATCCAAACCAGGCCAAGTCACTCCTCACTGCAATTACCTCACTTTCATTTTTGAAAAGTTTATTATGATATCCTGTAATGACATGAAGGTCCAGGTGTTGTCTGGGCAATGAAGCAACTGCCCTTCTTCCCCTTCCCCTTCTCTTTTCCTTCCTACTTCTTTCTCATACCCTTTTCCTCCTCTTAGGCATTCTGAAAAAAAGGTTCTGGGAAGAGAGGCTGGCTTATTCTTTATCACTGTCCCCTGAAAACACAATTCGTCACTGTTCTAGGTTTCACTCACACTGTATTTTTTTCCTGGGATTACAGGTGGCAGAATAGGGTCATGATATCTAGTCTCTCCAGGTTCTCCATCTCTCCTGCCCTGGAAAGAGATCAGTGAAGAGCTGCTCTAGTCTCTTCTGTGAGTCTGGTCATCAGTCTGTTCCCTGGTCTGTTTGCCTTTGGATATGGGACTACAGGGAGCTCCTTCCCTATGATACACGAGCCTCTAAGGCAATCATTTGAGCCTCCTGGGTTTTCCACAAATCACCCTTGTGCTGCAGATACAAATCAATGACTGTATCTAGGATTCCATCTGGTGAACCATGTGGATCAAGTTTCTTTTCTTGAGTTCCCCAAAATAGAAATTTTAGGTAAAGGATTGTGGACCTGTATACATGATTTAATTAGCTTTTAATTAATTTGAGTATATAATATATGACCCTATGAAGTCATAAGCGTCTTTGTAGAAGCAACTATATCATAAGTTTCTTCTATATTCTTCTTTGACACACTTATTGATTATCTGCTTGTTGATCATCTGGACCTTTTCAAAAGTTATAAAAATTATATTAAACATAGAATCATTTGATAGGAACAAGTTTTCTCACCCCTGTCAAATACTGTACAGTCAATAAAAACTGCTGAGTAGCCTAATTCACATTTCAGAAGGCTCAGTGTGTTCTTTTCTCTTCCAGATAAGCAGGAAGTAGGTTATCATTGTATGTGGGCACTCTACTAGATGCTGTCATGCACTTGGTTTTACATAATCCCTGTAAAGAGGGACAATAGATAAACTCAACTTTACAGATGAGAAGTAACAGACTCAGAGAGGTCAATTTCACCTTGACCAAGATCACCCCACTTATAAATGGTTGATCTGTAATTCAAATGTAGTATTCCTGCCCTTCCCTCATTTGCTGTTTTCTGATTTGCAGCACCCTTCAGTTTGCTCTCCTGGAGACTAAAGCATGACACTGAACTCTAATTAGAGGTTAGGGCCTGAATTCTGGATTCTTTGTCTTGTGATAAGTGCTTATGTACTAGGTATGATATGAAAATGAGAAAGAGAGAGAATGACCATGTGCAGGAGAGAACCTCTAGATTCTGAGTCGTCCTCTCAGGACATGAACACAGGGCCAGGTTGTGATTTTAGAGGCCCAACATCCTGGATGATTATGGACTTTCTCCAAAATATTAAAAAAAAAAAAAAACCCTGGAGCACCTGGGTGGCTCAGTTGGTTGAGCATCCTACTCTTGATTTTTGCTCAGGTCATGATCCCAGAGTCATAGGATGGAGTCCTGTGTCAGACTCTGTGCTGAACATGGAGCCTGCTTAGAATTCTCTCTCACACACACACTCTCTCTCTCTGCCCCTCTCCCTTTCTTGTGTATTCTCTATCTCAAGAGAAAGAAAGAAAGAAAGAAAGAAAGAAAGAAAGAAAGAAAGAAAGAAAGAAAGAAAGAAAAAAATGAAGGAAGGAAGGAAGAAAGAAAGAAACCCAACTAAAGCATAGTACATTTATATGAAAGTTCAACAAAGTTTGGATTGTTACCAAAATAAGTACCTTAACCCTTTTGGGGGGGGGAATATATAAATATATATATATATTTATTATATATATATAGTCATATATAAAAAATACATATATATAAAATCAATCTCCTTGCTCTCACTAATATTCTCTTTTTCTTTTTGGCCCCTCCTTTGCTAGTGATCTTACTCTGCCTTTTGGGTAACTAGCACTGAACGTAATAAGTGGCTATAAGGGAGGGACTACAGCCAAAAAATAGCTCCTGTACAATCTGCAAGGCACTGCAACATCATCTACAGAACACCCTGTACAAGTTTCTCTTAACCTTGGCTGTTCATTAGAATCTCCTTGGGGAGCTTTAAAAATACAATGCATATAATCCCAATAAGTATAATTCTGGGGATATCAATTCAAATAGTATGAGTTTGGGCCTGCATACCAGGTGGAATCCAAGGATTTTGAGGTTTCTGTTACAATTCCTCTTGCAGCAGTTTTCCTGTGAGTTGGTGTTTCAAAGACTGTTAATAGAGATGTGAAAGTGATTTGGGAGATGCTGGGTGAAACAGAGTTAAGTTTGTTTTAAGCAGATCTCAAAACCTTTACTATTAGCGTGACTGTGAATCTCTAATAGGCAGAGATCAGATCATATTCAGCATTGCTAAATTGATTTTACCATGAAACCCATCCCTCCCTTAATCATTTAATAACATTTTCTAGAACTTGTGTTTATAGTTGGGAAAAGTTGTTCTAGACTTTTCTAAGCCCTTCTTCGGGCTTTGTTCATTTAATATAGTTATCACGGGGCCTACCTTAAAGACTAAAAACTAGGTAAGATTATAAAGTAATCTGTGTTTAGACTATCAGTCAATCTCATGGGATATGCTGCTGTCGGAGAAAAGAGCCAGTTCTTCGGAAACATATAATAGTGGCATAGCTCTGCCACTTAAAAGCAGTTGTGAGGCACCTGGGTGGCTCAGTCGGTTAAGTGTCCGACTTCAGCTCAGGTCATGATCTCATGGTTCATGAGCTCAAGCCCCGTGTTGGGCTCTGTGCTGACAGCTCAGAGCCTGGAGCCTGCTTCTGATTCTGNCTGAATAGATTTGTCTCCTTCTTGTATCTGAATAGACTTTCCAAAGAAGAAATATAGGAGGCCAACAGGTATATGAAAAGGTGTTCAACATCATTAACCATCAGGGAAATGCAAATTAAATCTGCAATGAGATATCATCTCATACCTGATAGAATAGCTATTATCAAAAGGATAAGAGGGGTGCCTGCATTGCCCAGTTGGTTAAGCATCCAACTCTTCATTTCAGCTCAGGTCATGATCTCATGGTTCATGAGCTCAAGCCCCGTGTTGGGCTCTGTGCTGACAGCTCAGAGCCTGGAGCCTGCTTCTGATTCTGTGTCTCCCTTTCTCTCACTCTGCTCCTCCCCTGCTCGTGTGCTGTCTCTCTCAAAAATAAATAATCATTTAAAAAAAAAAGCAGTTGTGACCATGGATAATAGTTCTTGGGTCTCAGAACTTCTTATTTGTAAAATGAGATGATAGTACCTACTTCATAGGGTTGCTATGAGAATTCTATGAGGTTAAATGGCCCGTAATAGGGTTCAGTAAGTGGCAGCTGCATTTGGTGGTGATGTTGCTGGGCTCACTGCTCATTGAGCACCTAGGCATTTTGACAGACTCCATCTGGAAGCAGTACTATAATACAAAATGCAATACCATTAGCATGGGGTACAATTTGGGGCATGTTGGGTAGTATGTGTATATGTGGGGCCCTATAAAACCCCTGAAATTCCATCCCTTGGAAGGCCACAAAATTTATATACTTGGGGCTAGTGCAGTCCTTAGAACTGAGCAAACAGGGCACCTTCCCTGGGCCCAGCCCCTCAGGACTACCCTATACTTTTGGAGTGCCTTTCACATAAGAAGTCCTCTTCTTGTGTCTGGTACTCACTGGGACCAGCAGTACCATCTAGATCAGGGGCCCTGAGCTTGAACTGGGACCTGTGTAGGCTTGAGTCTCATTTCTCCCCTTAAGGGCGCTGCTCCCCTATCCCATGTATAGGGCTGACCAGCTACCCCCCAGAAGTTCTGAGACTTGCAATTATGCAGTCATCCTAGAGTCCTAAAGCCAAGCTCTGGTTCCAGGAGGGTGGCCTGGTAAGTGGATCACACCCTCTGGATGGCATGGTATTTCTTTTGTGGGATCACGGGAGATTGGGTCACCAGAATGGTGCTTGTATATGAGTTTGGCTTAAAACACATCCCAGACACAGTATGAATTTAGTACTAGTCACCAGTGGTCACTACTGACTCCAGGAGTTAAGTGCAGTGTGGGAGGTTTTCATCCATTCATGTTCTTACTGCTCTACTACTTCTGGCCTATAGCACTCAAGGGGGTCAGGGATAGCAGCACCTGCTCCTTAACCCATGATCCCCACTGCTGGCACCCAGGGTGCTTACTCCATTGTTTGCAAGCTCCACATCATGTGGAGATGAAATAGCTACTCCTGTCTCCTATTAGGACTTTTGAGACCATTGCTTTGCAGGGCCCTTGGGACACTTGTAATCAATGTCTTCTCTTGCCTCTGATTGATAGGTGATGATGTGCTCTCTTGAGTTGACGTTGATAAAGATAAATAATAGTCATTCTTTATGTAAACAGGACTCCTCTATTTACTCTGCCCATGGGCCCCTTGGGATCCAAGGGATCCTCCTTGTTGGTGGCTATGTGTAGAAGGCAGGGTGTAGTGTGGTTAGTTATAAAAGAGGTCACAAAGAATGGCACAAAAACAGACACTCAGATCAATGGAACAGAATAGAAAACCCAGAAATGGACCCACAAACGTATGGCCAACTCATCTTTGACAAAGCAGGAAAAAATATCCAATGGAATAAAGACAGTTTCTTCAGCAAGTGATGCTGGGAAAACTGGACAGCAACATGCAGAAAAGTGAACCTCGACCACTTTCTTACACCATACATGAAAATAAACTCAAAATGGATGAAAGACCTAAACCTAAGACAAGAAGCCATCAAAATCCTTGAGGAGAAAGCAGTCAAAAACCTTTTTGACCTTAGTCACAGCAACTTCTTACTCAACATATCTCCAGAGGCAAGGAAAACAAAAGCAAAAATGAACTATTGGGACCTCATCAAAATAAAAACTTCTGCACAGCAAAGGAAACAATCAGCAAAATTAAAAGGAAACCAACAGAATGGGAGAAGATATTTGCAAATGACATATCAGATAAAGCATTAGTATCCAAAATCTATAGAGAACTTACCAAACTCAACACCCAAAAAACAA